AAGGTAATAGTATATCGGGCTCCAGTAGAACACGTGAGACGTAATAATATGAGTATGTAAATATAGTAGTTAGCATCTACAAAGAATTAAACTCTTATCCAAATTAGGAAAATCTATTCACAACTAGTTGGAGGCTGGTAACGACCGTACCGACGGACCGACCAGGGGAATTTCGTTCCCAAAACTCGAGCTGAACTGGCTGAATGAACTGAACGGAATCAACCAATAGCATTGATTGAACCACTACCGGTTTTTTTCTAAATTCAAAAGATTACAGCTAAAATTGCGAAAGATATTAGCCGATGCTGAATTATCCGTGCGATGAAGCCCTATTAAATGTGGTAGAAATGAAATCCTCATATCCTCAACCTTGATCCTTTGTAGGTTTCACTGGAATCGGCCAATGTGTAAGCGAGAAATCTGCTGTGAAAGGTGGTCTTGACGGGGAGGTCGGCAGTCAGTTTAGTCGTTATTACGTAATTTCTCTTCTAAAACATTTGGAATGTTAAAATAAAGTCAAAAGCGGCACACACGGTAACATGGCGATTCTTTAGGTACCCACTTTTATGGGTCTAAGGTTTACCGTTATCGCGGAGTTTGAGTGACTTTCTCAGGACCCTGGATTCTTGAAATTCAAATTTCCCGGCAAAGTAAAAAGTAAAATTTTCCTTGTTTTGGGTCATTAAGTGCTTATAACTTTTTGAAAACTCAATGAATCTTAATGAAACCCTTAAACGCCATCCGGCTAACTTAGCTGCGTCCATAGACACCAAGATCGTTGGAATCCGTGCCGCCGTTTGCTCTGAATTCCATTCTAAATCGAATCAATTTTCAGATTAAGGGAGTTGCCTGTGACTAAGAGTGTCGGCCACCCGTTTGTTATCGGGACTTTAGTAGGACGTCATTTTCCTCGACCGGGGGTGGCTACCGCCACTCTTGATAACAACTGAGAAATCAATTCACATCTCCGCTCAGCGGCAGAACACAATTGTTTATTTTTCATTAAAGCTAACCTCAAAATATATTTTCATTCTTTATCCGCCTTGGTTTTTCATAACAGTCACTGCGGATCCTTTATATCCATGAAATGGACTGTATTTTTTAGGAAGGTACCAAGTCGCATCAAAATCAAATTCAGGCAAAGAGGTTCGAAGTTTTACCACTTCATATGACTCAACCAGAGATTAGTTCTGGAGGAATTCTTTCGAAGGCTGCCCTGAAATCATTTTATTTCAACTCATTTCTCCATCTTCTCTAGAATATCGATCCATCAAACCTGCTAAGTTCAACATTATAGTTTCTAGCTCTTTACTGCAATTAAATTGCGGAACTATAATTTGACAGTTAGCAGAATATCCTTCAATGTACCTACACTTCCAACCTGCAGAACTTACTTCGCAGATAACTGAACAACAATGATTAGCACGGAGGAGAATTTTGTAAGTACTTAAGTACATATACACCTACTAGCAACTTTACATATCTAGCCCCATTTTCAGTTGCAATATTAATAATATGTTTCATTTTCATGGAACCGGTTATGACTCCAGGTTTGTCTTTCTATAAGCTGTGTTTTTCTGTGCCCATTATTCAGGACTTCAGGAGTTAAGAGTAGAGGAATGGAAGTCTGGAGCAGAACCGATCCATTTAATCCGACATCATTAGCATGTCCAAAATTTTAATTTCCAGAGAATTATGTGGTGATGAAAAGCCAGAGCCCTGTTATCATCTGATTTAATGTATTTTAATGTTTGAGTTTAGGTATCAGATTTGTGATGGGTAGTGTATATGATCGATTGATGATAAAATAATTAATTGATGCTTGTCCTGCTTTCACTTTAAATTTACGAGTACCTGTTAAATGAATTCATAACGAAAATCAATAATTTCAGTGATATTATTTTTATGCTATGTCTACATACACTGGGTTCTTATTCCGTGCCAGGATTGTCATCATTTGCCAAAAAATACCTTGAAACTGAGCAAGAGATTTTTCTGGTATGACCTTTTGGAACTGCATAATAAGGGAATAATGTGTGTTCAGAATTTGACTAGGCATTCTATCCACTTTCCCTCCCTTGTAGCTAATCTTTTTTATTTAAGACCTTCATCATTTTTTCCTATTTTGGAGAGAGTAAGGAATGCTGATTATAACAAAATTTGAGAAACAATTACTTTCGTCCCTGTTGAATGAAAAAAAATAAAACGAAGCACCTACCTAAAAAAAAAAAAATAAATAAAGTAAAAAAATACAATGAAGTAAAAAATAAAATAAAGTAAATTCATAAAATAAAGTAAATTAATAATATTAAGTAAATAAATAAAATAAAGTAAATTAATAAAATAAAGTCAATAAATAAATAAAGTAAATACATAAAATACCTGAAGTCTAAAGAAAATCAACTAAAAAAACAAAATGAAGTAAAACAAATGACGTAAAATAATATAATGAAGTGAAAAAATAAAATGAAGTAAAATAATGCATTAAAATAAAAATCGAACAAAAGCTATGTAAATTGGTCAAGATATCCTGGTTGTCCTATCAATTGGAAGCTAAATGCGGGTTTTTCGTCACCGCTACTCAAGTTCTCGGCATGGCTCAGTAGGTAGGATCCTCGTCTTCGGTTAGGTAGGTCCCAGGTTCAAATCCGGACGTAGGCAAAAAAAAATGCTGCACGTAAATATCGAGAAATGTGCCTCCAAATGTCTCGTGGACCTTATTTATCGCGGTTTTAGACATTATTTCCGTAAATAATCCATTTTGGGGGGCTCTTTTCAACCGTCCCCTGGCTACAAACCCCAAAATTTGCTGCCGATGCTCGAATTTAGCGATCCAAACCAGGTTTAGATTTATGCCAAACTAGTTTAGATATTACCTAAACTCCGAGTCAGCGTACAACCCAAAATCGGGTTTGCCTACTATCCAAAATAACTAGCTGGAGCCATATCAGCTATCCGGAGTTGGTGTTGTACACCGATATTCCGGCAAAAATCCAAACCCTTTTTTTTCAGTGTACAAAAAAATCGCCTCTTGCAAGGGGCTTTCTTGTAAGAGTTTTGACCTGAAGACAAGGGTCGAACAGCAGCAGTACTCCATACAATACACGGTGTGCCTGAACGAGTTAAACATTTTTTATAATTCCAAATCGAATATTCTTTATAATTTTAATGAAAGTTTCTCTTGAGTCGTTTAAGCCAAAAAAAGAAGAAGAAAAAAATCCGTCGAGATTCTGGAACGTAAAGGCGCTTTAAAAGTGTTCTGAGGCTATAGTAGCTAAATCACTGGTAGTAAATCCCGTTATATAATTAAAATAAAATTGACTCCACAGTCTAATGCTTTAGTGTCTTGAATACTATTATTTTCAGCACTTGAACATTTACACCAGCAATTTTACCCATGGGGTGATTTTCTGAGAGCTGATAATATCACCAGTTTCTCATAGAACCCTTCAAAAATGGCTTGCTTTTTGGGAAAAATTTAAAATTGAGTATAGGAACGGTTTGTAAATAACGAGGCGAGGCGGGCAAAGCGGCTAAAATCCGATCCAACTTTTGCCGTTTTCTGTTGAATTGATGTTGCCGCGGACTTCTGACAGTGCTTACACATGGTCTCTGTTCAGCATATCAATACATAAGTATTTTTACACGTAGAATTTAATTTTCACGTCAGGAAGTCGACCTATTTTGATTTTTTTTATTTTATACGGAAAATTGATGGTTTTTTGGGATTGAAATTACTTATTATTGTTTCATGAAAAAAAATTGCACCCAAAATGACTATAACATATTGACTCTTAAATATTTGTATTCAGGAAATTGATTGGTAAATTAAACGAGTGGGTACATCGACCTGCTATATCAAGTTTCTGCGATTTTTTACGGCAGATTGGTAGATTTTCGGGATGTAGATTCCTTACTTTCAATTCATTATTAAATAAAGCATCCCTAGTGGAAGTGAACCTCATGCGGCGGGAGGTCTGCAGGTGGTTAACCATCCGCGGCGGGGACTAACCTCCTGTAACCTCCTGCTAACCTCAAGCAACCTCCCGTCGCATGAGATGGACACCCTGTTCCAGGAAAAAACCGAGCAACCTCCCTTGAACCTCATGCAGACCTCTCGCAAGCCTTAATCACCTCAAGCAAGGGCCTGCAACCCCATGCAGCTAACTAAGGCTTGCGAGAGGTCTGCATGAGGTTCGCAGGAGGTTCGCGGAAGGTTACTCGGTTTTTTCCTGGAACAGGGTGTTCACCCCATGCGACGGGAGGTTGCTTGAGGTTAGCAGGAGGTTGCAGGAGGTTAGTCCCCGCCGCGGATGGTTAACCGCCTGCAGACCTCCCGCCGCATGAGGTTCACTTCCACTAGGGATGGACATGGTTGAACTTCTTTGCATGGAAAGACGTTTAAAATAACAAAATCAAGACATATTTAATGCAATCACATTTATATCGAGTCAATTTATTTTCAATAACGTAACGGAATTTATACTACCGGTGATTTGGGTATTTTAGCCCCAAAATACTCTTAAATCGACTTTATCTTTCAGGAGTTCGACAGAATTTTTCCTTTCTTCGCTTAAATTATTCCGTAGCACTTTTCTTCAAGAATCTGATAATATTTTGGCCGAGGCAGATCAAAAAACATTCACAATACTTAGTCTCGTCAAGGTGCGTTGTTGACCTCGCAGTGCTGGATTGTGAATTCTCTTGTTGTCCTGTTTGCCTAATTTGAAATCCCTGTAAATGAAAATTTAAAGGGTTGATATGTGCGAGTGAATGACGCGCCTTATCAACACATTGTGTTGGAGTTCACTGCTTGTTTCATAATTTTATTTATTCGAAATCTAACGAAGCATTAAAATGAGCTGAAGGTAATTTGTATCGGAGATTTTTTAAAATTATGGCTTACATTTTTTGACCCGTCAATAAATGCAAGCATACCCTTGATATCTAATCTGTCAAAAGTTTGCGAAATGTGAGCTAATTATTCATTTATCTTTCAGACATCTAACTAAGTTATACGATTCCATTGCAAAAATCAATTTTCAAAGTGATGGTGATTCTTTAAGGAGGAAAATAGCGAAAGGGATGCTCGCCAAAGATGGTGAATATGTTGAGTTTCCAGAGGACTGCGACTGTAATGGGCAGGTAACTTAATCATCTTTCAACTTTTTGACATGAAGTAAGACCTTTTGACCACCCTACAATTGACTTGAAGTTTTGTTCTTTCCCTGAGAAAAATTGGTCCTTTGATTTGACAGGACGAGTCCTGTTGATTGGTTTTCTCTTTGGCTCAAAAAAACTTCCTGTCGACTGAACAGGGCGCCTTGTTGACTCAACAGGCATTTTCTGTTTGTTTAATTTTCCTGATGGCTCAACAGGAAAGCTCTTTAATGCAGAGGACGCGATGCTCTTTGTGGCAAACGGAACCTGTTGTAACAGGAAAGCTGATTTGCAGTAACAGGCAGTACCATTTGACTCAAAGGAGAGTGCTCCTTCACGTCAAACGGCACCTCAAAAACTGGAATCTCCAAAGGCTTCGTGTTTCTCGTAACGGTAAAGACGGTTACTCTTACTTCGTGATTATTTAAATTATTAATGACTAGCAGTTTGACCCGTGCTACGCACGGACAGTGTCATCTACAGTTCCTATCCGTGTTTATATGGTAAAATCTATATTTTTCTTGCAAAGAGGAGCAATATCTCTAGCCAAGGACCTAAATATATTATGAATATCCAATTGAAAATACGACAAAAAATGAAAAATAATAACAATTGTAATTTATAATTATTTTTCTTAATTTATTATTGATATTACAGAATATTACATAACCAAGTAGATAACACATGTGTAACATTTGCAAAATCATGTATCCTATTGTAATCATTACTGCATACGCCTAAGTTAAAAATTTTATATAGATAAGCCTTCTTACTTTGTTAAAATGCCAAAAATCATTTTAAACTTTCTAAGATGATTAAAACTTAATTCATGTTTTTCAAGTGTATAAAAGATGGTATAATTCATTTTATTCTTGGGTTATTTTTAGTCATGGCAGCCTTAAGTGCTATATTTTGCTTGCTGTCGTGTCTCAATTTTCTGCTAACAACAAACATATGCAGGTTGGAAATCGGCAGAAGATGACCGTATTTCACTTGAGAGCACTGTTTTAATTAGCTTGATTTGAATAATAGCAATCTTCGATATTTTGAGTAGCAATCACGACTAAATTTTTGTTATTCTTGTTCAAAGGTTGTAAGGTCGTTTTGTCTGTAGATGAGCCCGCTGTATTCAGATTTTGAAAATATGACCCTGGCTTTGTTATATTACGTTGTAAAGATGATAACTCTCCCATTTAAATATAATTAATTTTTTATTTTTTGTCACATTTCGTTTAAGCGTTCAGCTGGGACGATTTCCATGATTTTGCCGGTTATCAACAGGTTAAAGTCCCTAAGTGAGCGCGTTGTAATCAGAATTTGAAAATAGGACCCAGGTTTTATCTTTAAGAGTAGACTAGAGAACTCAAGAAGTGGGGAAAATCAGAAATTTACGCTCATGAAAAATGCTTCAAATACTTAATATGGCCCCTGCCTGCTACGCGGCCCAACCTCCACGGGGCCCTTCCCGCTCTCTTAGGCCAGCTTCGACAAAAGAACGATCAAAAAAATGAAAATGCTTTCATACCCGACTTTCATTTGTCCAATTTCCCCCCAAAGTGCCCTTTGAGGGTTGGGCAGCGTAGCCCCCTAGTATTACACTATGTAACCCTAGTATTACTCATGTAACTTTTTCATTTCCCCGGCGTAAATATTAAATTTTGTTATGCAAGAACAATTAATAATTCGCAATGCGACGGTGAAAGTCGGCAATCACATAACTCGATTTGCGACGTCGCAGACTTCCTGTCATACTTTATTCTTTAAACGGAAAACTACTCAACGGTAATTCCTTAAAACTGCCGTGATTTTTCTTCTATGTGCGAGGAAAATTCTGCAAAAACTGCAAGGAATCATGTCCATTTGTTCTCCTTTAAAAAAATAACATAGTTACGGAGATTTTCAGACACCGCAAACGAGTTATGTGATTGCCGACTTGCACCGTCGAATGATGTTTAGCTCACCGCAAGGTATTGTTTACGTAAGGGTTACCCTAATGGAGGAACGGAAAATATTTATTCAAATTAGTATTTCTTTATATACTATGTTTTCTGTTTTCCCATTAGGGCAAAGAATAAATAGGTTTTTTGGAGAGCTTACACGCGAGGAAACTACATATAATTGACCTTGAGAAAAACCTTTACATGTAAGATCAATACCAGCTATCTTGAAGGTTTGTCATTGCGCTTTATTAATTGTCATTGCAAAACATAATTTAATTGGGAATTGTATTCTTTTAAATTGAAGAGGATACTTTGTAGGTGTCATCACTAATCGTGGCAAATATACAGTTTCGCCTGCACCATTACCTGTCAGAATTTCTGCTTCTATTAAGTTTTTGTGCATTTTTTTATGCGAAGTCTTGTACCATTGCACAATGTATGTGGGTTTAGGTTTCTTAGCAAAATTATTGGTGCACCAACTTTCAATTTTAATTCATGTTCGGGAAAGCCGGATGCTTCCAAAATATTCAATAATTCTGTTGGGTAATGTAATTTTTCATCATCGATCAGGCCAGCATTTATTGAAAAATATTTTTTTTTTTTTTTTATACACATTATAACACATTAAACAAAAACAACGCATCAAACAGAAAAACACATCAATCAAACACATCAAACAAAAAAACACAACGAACACATCAAACACAAAAAAAACATATAAAACAACAATACATCAAATAAAAAATCACATAAAACACACCGAAACAAAAAACACACCAAACACTAAAAACACATCCAACACAAACAACCCATCAAACACAAAAAACAAATAATACACAAATAACACAAAAACACATCAAGCAAACACAGCAAAGACAAAAACAAAAAAAAAACACAACGCACACAACAAACACATTAAACATAACAATCACATCAAACTCAACAAAAACATCGAACACAAAAAACACATCAAACGAAACAAAAACATCAAATACAATACAAAATTTTCGAGAATTATCGTCCTGAAGCGTCAAAAATGCCAAAAATTGGATTAATCATCACGTCGGAGGTTCCAGGAAGTGAATTATGACATTCATGTGGATCGTGGGACACTTTCTCCACGCATTTTCTGTTCTTCGGTATATTTGGCCTGTAGCAAGCATCTTGAGAACCAAGGATTATCTCGAGGTTACAGGAATAAAGAGGTGAACTGGAGTGAAGGATAAA